CCCCCCCTCCCCCCCCCCCCCCTCTACTCGTTTCAGTTGTCACGGCCAGACCAAGGTTCCCTGCGCCGCGTGTGGGGGGTCCGGCGTCGGCAAGATATAGAGCGACGCCGCTCTGGTTGGAATCCCATGAAGGCAGCAGTTCTAGTCTTTCATTTCCATCACAGCGCTAGTAGTTTTAATATTTCTTGCCCTACTCGTCTTTTTTCTGTCACAGCAGTAGCAGCAGTTTTTTTTCTGTTCTTTTTTGCTTGTTTCTTGTGACACTGTCGCTCATGGGGTGCTCCGCTCTTTTTTCTAGTATTCTTTGGTTCTTCGGGTGTCGGTTAGGCCTGTCGGGCGGCGGAGGGGGGTTGCGATGAGGTTCGGGCGGATGGTTGGGTCTGGTGGTAACAGATGTGGAAGGGGGACTGACTACTGTCATTCTCGCTGCGAAAGAGACGTTGGACGGCAAGCAGGCTGCTGCCAGCTGGAACGGAGCCGTTTGAGGGAGGGGTATGTGCTGAGGTCGTCTCGACGGGTTGTTGCAGTGATGACCGCTCTGGCCTCTTTTCACGAGGTACTTGAAGTGGGTTCCTGCCTCTTGCACCCGCCCATAAATAGTTACGCGTGGCAGGATATATTTTATGGCATGTGTCTTCGCTGTGTGGGGATTTGCAACACAATTTGGCACCGTCGCCCCCCGCTTGGAAGCCCGCGGGAATGACGTCATGTAGTCGGTTCCCGAGACCACCACTCCCATATTGCTGATCGTGTTTCTTTGTTCTGGGCGTGGTACACTAAAAAATATAACGCCGGCAGCCTCATTCCTGCTCTCTGGAGCGACCGAGTTTTTTTTCCTTTTTTTTTGCTGCCGCGGAGATCTGATTCTGTTCTGAAATGTTGAGGAGGGAGGAGGGACGCGCGAGGGCGGGAGAGGGGGGATCTCTGATCTGGGCTCTTTTGAGGGGGCGGGGGGGATTTTTGGTGTGGTTAGTGGTGTTTGCCTGTGGTAAGATGCATTTGGTTGCCTGTGTTTTATGCTTGTAGACCGTCGGAACGACATGTAGACACAAAATGGAAACACGTTCGGCATGCCGTTTGCGATTTGTTACCGTACCGTACCACGGATGGATATTTGCAAGAACGATCGGAAGCAAAAGGGAGGGAAGGCGTGGGGAGGGTCTTACTTTTGTGTTGTTTCAACTCTGCACCTGCTGCCGTAACATGTCACTTTCTTTGTGGGCTCAAAATGTTCATTCTGTTCCATGTTCCATCCATGGAGTGTGGCCTCCCATGTGGTCGAGAACGGCAAGGCCTGTGGGGCACATCGCAAAAAGTGCGAGCGGCTGCTGTGATGGATGGCCGTAACAACTCGCGGAAAGAACTAGACTTTGTCGTGTACATCAACCACCTCATATTCGAGCGTTGCGATTTATGAGCAAATCGCATTTTGTGGCCACGTGCATATGTACATACGCGCGCGTGCGCGTAGAATATGTGTGGTGCGCTTGTTTCGCTGTCCCTCGTCGGAGTAGTGGTGCATTCGCGGTCGGGTTGTGGGTCGTTTTTTGCCCGCGTGGGTCGGTCTCAACAGCAGTGCGAGAAAGGTGCCTCACGATACATACCCCCAAGGCTGCTGCCGAGTGAGTCTTTGTCGACGGAGGCGGGCGGCGGACAAGGGCATGTGCATGAAATGCTTTTTTCGGGCGAAACGGCGGCGGCGGCGGCGGCGAGTCGTTGGCGTTTGTTTCTCGTCGCCCGGCCAAACCCAGCCTGTTAGCTTGCTAGGTTCCGCCACGAGTTGCGAAGAAGGACAAACAGTACAGCGTTGGTCCCTGCATAGTAATGAGGCTGCATAGTTACATACTGCCAAGAGATGAGGTCGGAGTTGTACCATGTGTACAGCGGTGGTGAAACCGTCTGTACCTTTCGAGACATCCGAGGGTAAGATAGCACTTTCATGAATCGATTTATTACTTGCTGCCCGTGCCACATGTTGTGTAGCAGGTTCTCGAATGCCCCCTCCCCATGCATACCGCAAACGGAATACAAGTACTACTATAATAGAAGGTCTGTTTCCGTGAATCGGCAGGCACTCATCATCTGCTTTTCGCTGCATGCCAACCATAAAAAAGAAACCTAGGTGCCAGGTTTGGATGAAAAATCAGCCTTTTCTTATTTGCGGGGCCACGAGCAACCAGGCGTGCGTCCTTTGGCCAGCCACACCTGGTGCGCCTTGTGGGTTCAAAGCACGACAAACACTCCGACAAGGACAAGGAAACACGCATGCATCTACTCCACCACCTCGCCCTCGATAGCCAACAGGATGTGTCTCCTTAGGCTTCTTTACCGAAGGTTGCTTGCATCAAATACCACCCCGTCTTCACACCGCTTTTCAAAGTTCCACCAATCACTCCACGACGAAAAGCAGTACCACAATCAAAGGATGGAACTTTTGGAAGGCTCTCGACGAGACGGCTCCAACGCCGCCGTTTGCGGCACTGTCTCTATTGCTTTTGCTTGCGGAGTAATCTAGCTTTGAGAGTCGATCCAGGCGGGGCCTATCAGATATATTGGGGGTACTCGTAGCATAGTATGACGTTGAGATGTTATGTACGTACGTACGAAAGTTACAGTGATGAGATGGGGAAGAATAGGAAATTTCTACATATATTCCTTGGTTGCGAGAGGTATTTGGTGAAGGTTCAGAGAGATTCGTTGAGTGACAAAGAGTGAAGGCGTGACCAGATGCCGTGATGGCTTGACGAGCACTGGCACGCCCCCGATTAATACTATACTCTGCAATACGTTTTCAACACGTTTCTACCCATCAACGCTCCGCCATGAGCCACCCGCTTTGAGCTCCAACCACAAGGAATCGAGCCACCCGAATTATCGATCAGGGCCGTTGTGATGTAGCTTACGCTACTTCTTCACTTCCAAAACTTGTCGTCGTCCGCGACCTCCTCTTCCCGCGACGCCCGCACCGTACCTCGTAGCTTCGTTGCCAACGCCCCGCGTTCCCCCCCTCCCCCCCGTCGTCCAACCGCCTTATCCTCGCCGGGTGCCTTGTCTTCCACGGAAGGTCCGCTCCCGATGCTGCCACTACCTCTACCGATAGACGCCTTGCGCCCTCCCCCCGGACCGCGATGTCTCGACGACTGCAGCCGTACGGCAGAGCCGGGTAGGTCCTGGGAACACCGCGAGCTACGGGAAACGGGGGCCACCGTCGTACCCCCCCGGCCTTTCTTCCTGCCATCCTTTCCTCCGCATCCGGTTTCCAGTCCCGGGGCGCGCTGTCGCGGGAGGGCTAAGCGCTGGGCGACGCCGGCGGCGTGCTCCCGGGATCGCACGGCCTCCTCGAGCTTCTTGCCGTAGCGCCGCAGCTCCGAGGACGGGATGGAGTCGTTTGCGGCGGCGTTGGACGTGCCACCGCTGTCGCCGACCTTAGGCCCGAGGTGCCGTCGAGACCGCCGCTCGTCGTCGGCCTTAACGGCGGCCTCGTCTTCCAGGAGACCCGTCAGGTCGGCAACTTCCTCGAGGAGATTCTTTTGGTGCACCCGCCGATGCAGCACGATGACAAGGGGTACGGCAAGAGGTGCAGGACACGAGAATGCTTGGTGGTTATCGAACAAACGAGATCTCTCCCGAAGCGCCTACGCTGATACAACCCCACCCCCACTTTCTTTGATCGTCCCAAGAACAGTCGTACAGAACACGCACTCTTGCTCTTCGACTCTGCCCGCACGACAAGCCAAACCCCGAAATCCACCATTTATCTTCGTACTAGGATACCTTTCTCCGAACGAAAGCAGCAAATAATGTCGAGGGGGGCTCGCAGACAATGTGTTTCTCTTGCTCCTTTTGACCCGCTAAAAGCCTTGTGTCGTGCAAGCCCGACCACGTCACGATCGAGCCACGGTGTCGAGGTTACCAGAGAATATCATACCACAGCGGTCTCGCTAGAAGAATGAACAAAGATTACGCAGCCAACAGAAGTAGTCTTGCACCTGGGCCTCTTCCTCGAAAGCGGCGCGAAGTCCCCCCAGGGCGGTGTCTATCGTGGCCACCGTGACGCATCGCCCCGACTCGAGACACTCGGGGGCCGACCTAATGATTATTGCAACAAGAGAAACAGTCTGCTACATGGCATGGTGCCTGGATGGCTTGGCTTCTAGGTGGAGCTCACGGTAGATGGACTGTTTTGGCATTGGTCGACGGCGGAGGAGGACCACAACTATGCGAGCGCAGGGCGCACGTGCACCCACGACGATGGCACAATGGGTAGGGCCTGGAAACTCGCAAGGCGATTCGGGCGGAGTACAAGAGTTGGCCGGGGGGAGGGAGAGCAGACCAGAGCCAAATAAGCTACGTAGTGCAACTGGTCCCGTTTAGCAGCCATGAACACCCAGCCAAATAAATGTGACGTCACGTCACCGATACTGCTACTGTTGACAAATTTACCTCGCCGAACGAGAACTGCCAGGTCTTCTGCCCGTCTCCGGTCTCGATCTACTATTTCCCGCTGCCGTTCCTTCCAAACCTCCGCGTCCCCCCTCCCCGAGCGTCCCGTTCCCACCCCTCCCGGCAGCACCACCGCTGAGGCCGTCGCACCCACCACGTGTCGAGAGGAATTCGTACACGGCTCGGTCTTGCTGAGTGTCGAGGGGCACGTAAGGTGTAGTGGGTGCACTACAGCTGCTGTTGCTGCTTCTGCTTCTCCCGTAGCTGGCTTCTCGGCCGTTCAGGCACTTCCGCCGCGGCGAAGAGTCCTCCCCTGGACTGCTGCAGAGAGTGGCGCAACGCGGGTACCGACAGAGCGACAGCGAGCGATCGAGTTGTTGTCGTTCGAGAGTCAACATCAACAGGAAATGAAATGTTCATCGGGCGTACACCTCTGTCAAACCTCGTCGGATGCCGTGGTGGGGTAGGGGTGCGGGCTATAGCCGCCGGCCGGGCGATCCCATACCAACCGACGGAACACGCCACCAGACCCCTTCTCTGCAGAAAGAGAGCCCGAAGAGGACCGATCTCTCGATAAGTGCAGCCGTCACTTACACGCCCGAGTGCTAGTACGAGCAGGCACCAGTCGTACGCAAGGACACAAAACGCACCCTGCTGTAGTGGCACAGCACGATCTGGTAGAGCTACACCTACAGAGGTCGTCCTCTCGGAAAGTGTGCGGTCGAGGTCGTCCAACCATGGCCGATCCGCACCCGCTGCCACCCCCACCCCCGCTGCTGCTAGTTGAAATCGAGGCCAGCCCCCCCTTTCCCCCCTGGGTTCCGCTCGGTACACCTAGCTTTCCGAGCAACAGTCGTAGGTGGGCTTCTAGAAGGGTTCTCTCGAGACCCGGCGCCATGGTCGGTCGCGCCGCAATCGTCTGCCACGTGTGCTTGTTCTGATCCTGGCAACACACGGGAGAGAACATGCATGATGATCTGTGCTGTGGCCAAGGGAGTATGGTGTTTGTGAGGACCCGAGTGATAGTAAAGGCTTACCCATTAGACTACTCAGTCAAGTTCTTGACTGAGTAGTCTAATGGGTAAGCCTTTACTATCAAAAGATACACTCTCGGCTCGTAGAATCCCGGGCTGTGAGTAGAGATCTCCAGGGACGGACCCCTCGCCAGGTGCTGCTGGAAAAGAACTACCTATGGTGCTTTTTCGTAAAGTGATCAGCCTTGGATTTGAACCTGTGCGTGTATCTTTCGAGTGGTAAAGGCCAATCGAACGCTGACTGAGCAGTCTAATGGGTAAGCCTTTACCAATCGAAAGATACACTCTCGGCTCGTAGAATCCCGGGCTGTGAGTAGAGACCTCCGGGGACGGACCCCTCGCCAGGCGCTGCTGGAAAAGAACTATGATGCTTTTTCGTAAAGTGATCAGCCCCGGATTTGAACCTAAGCGTGTATACTTTGATAGGTATAGTCTTACCCATTTGACTACTCAGTCAGCGGCTAGACTATGTGTCTATTTAGCAGGCGTCGGATACCGAACACTGCAGGGGTGGTATACTGTAAGATCTAGAGAAGAATATACGGTGGGATCGTTTCTTCAACCAAACAACGAACGGCGACACCTCTGGTACGTACTTATGCCCTGTACACGGATGGTCTTACACGACATACATACTCTTATGCATGCCTGCTGTGAAAATTAGGAAAAATATGTACACACACAGACTGCTGCTGCTACTCTGTGCGATGCTTATTGTGGGCATCGGCTATTCACTAGCCGTGTCTTGCCTGAGCTTCCGCTAGTATGTCTTCCAAGGCATCGACCTCTCTCCACAGAGCCTCGTTGCGGTCCAACACGCTCTCGCCGATTGTTCGACGGATGGTGAACACCTGCCGCTCGCGTGGGTGCGTCATTCACTTGGTGTACATGTCTTGACACGGCGATGTTCGTGATCGGAAGAACAAGGGCAATATACTCGTGGTTCCTATATTCTACTTCATTAACATCCCCATCTTCTCTATCTATTTATTTGACTGCGTGCTCGTTTTTCGGGGCACAACTTGTTGACGTATCGACCGGATTCCTCTCCACGTACAGCTTGCTTGCTGGAATGCTGTAGGTACGACATGTGTGACCATGCAGCGGAATTGCGACAGTCTACACCGCACGAGACCTGCAGCGGTGTGGCAATTCACGGAAGAACGTGATTCTCGGGCGCTCCGATGACGACCTTCATGTGTAGTCTACGTTCTCACCTCTTGCGGACGAAGGTGGGACTCTATACGATCCCATAGCGACCGGGGCGCGCCGCCGACTGTATGCTGCTCCTCGTCAGTTTCGATCGCCCACAACGGGGACTCGCAACGACTCATGATTCACTAACATCACAGGCGCCGCGGAGAGCTGCCACGCGCTAATGGAACGATCTCAAACCAGACCGTGTTTTGTGTTTGAGATGGGGACGCGGTGGAATCGATGCTTACCGCCAACTACCTCTGTTCCCCGTCGACAGGTCGATCCGATATATATATATATATATAGTCTATATATATATTTTTTTTCCATCAAAATGACAATAGACGACAATGACCCAACGAATTCACCTATCTCTACCAGGTGTATTCGGTTTTTTCGGTTTCATGCGAACAGGAACAAGGCCTCCTCGCTCCCACGCTAGCCTGTTAGGCGTTGTCGTCTGTTCTTTCACTTGTCATGTCTAGGAACAACCAAGAGGCGTCAAAGGAGTTTCATAGGACGCCATACCGTACTACTACTTCTACTGCCTCCCTACACTACTTAGGCTAATTTACTGCCGGCTTTACTAAACACACTGCACTGTACATCTATCTATCTGTAGAAAAAAAATACAGAAAGACTAGACTAACTACTCTTTCGAGGTAGAACCACAGCAGTCGAACGGGATGTGTTGAAGTCCTTACAGTGAACGGAGGAAAACCGGCTGGGTACTGGGTTTATTTGGAGTCTATTTAAGCCTATATACACCGACTGACACTTTTTTTATCAGTGATGATGCCAGCAAGCAGGTGCTAATCACTGCATAGGTACAAATTTATGTTGCGCAATGACGCCGATCGAGCAAACCAACTACGTTTCTGTGGATAGAGATGAATTTGTTGTGTCGTGTTGAGAAAAACAAAAAACTGTACATCTCTCTTTTCGTCGACGCCAATGAGAACACCCTGTCTCTCCCCAACAAGAGAGAGTCAGAGTCCCTGAACGTAATGTAGTCTAGTGAATAATCGTTCGCCAGCGGAGGAATGTTTTCTTTTCTCCTTGATTGAGATGAGGCGACAAGTCTCCAGGTCTTCATCACTTACATACAGGTAAGCGGCGGCGAGATGGCACCCTCCTACGGTTCAAAGCTCGATTGCTCCTACGGTCGTCACATGTAACGTGCGTCCCTTCCCCTACCCCTAGGTGTCCCCAGAGTTGATTGGGAGAGGTCATGACATGGCAATCTAGCGCTCCATTTTACGCCACACCTTAAAAAGTTCCGGACATGACACGCAGCTTTTTATCAGCCGACGTTTTGCGTCGACTTCTTCTGAGAACTGCATTAGTCTACACACATGCCATTACAGCAGCAGCCACGGCAGCAATAGCAATATCGTTGTCTGGTGCGGTAAGGACGCCTCGTAGCATCATCACTGCTCGATACAATTCGTCCACACCTTTGAACCTTGCGGTCATTCGAGAATGAAAAATGAGCCAAACATACATGTGCAGCGCACTGCTGTACATAAGGGCATTCAAACGATTTTTGTTGGTTCCAGAATGTTTTTCTCACACGAAGGGGACGGACAAGAAGCCTGTCGAACTCGCCACGAGCGTGTGTCTACTGCAGCGGCCAAAATACAAGACTACTTTTAAAAGTGTTGTAAAGAAGCCCTCTGGAGAGAAAAAATACCACAACATCACGTACTGTACAGTAGAGTTGACCATCGAGTCGACCACAAGCTGTGACCAACAACCCAACCCAAACAACATCCACAAAACAGAACCAATATAATTGCTTCGCGGGATGTACAAATCCCTTCTCTTCGTTTCGCTGAGAGGGGGTTTCTAGTAAAGGCGCCGAGCGATGATGGTGGCTGCGGCCTCTTTTCCTGCCCCCCCCTACAATGATCGCGACGAAGCTGTTTACAGAAGACGGCGACGTCACCAACAAGCAGCAGATACAGGCTGTCGACGAAAGCCGACCACAGACAGAATACAGACACCTCACACCATTCTCTCCCGTACCCACGCACTACTAGCCCCACCCGCACCGCGAAATGTAAGATAAACACGGCTTAGCTCTCCGAGTATTGTGCAACATCGCTCTCAGGACACACCTATTGCGCACCGACATAAGCGCAAACGGAGCACCAACTACTAACACATCACACTTTCAACAAGCAGATCTGTACCCCTTGCCTCCTCCCTCCATTCCCCCGCACCGCGCGACACAACACACACAAGCCGCCCGTCGTCGTCGTCAGCATACGCTCTCGCAAAACATCGACTGGCTTTGCTGCATGGCCAAGGTTCTGCCGCACAGACTACACCGCTGAGGGCACAGCAGACGGCGCGTGCGCTCGGGCCGCGAGAGTCAAGCGGCAGCGCAAATGCCGCGGCAGGGCCGCAGCCGTCGTGCGCCGCCCTTGCGGGGACTCATTGTTTGTATATCCCTCTATTCCTTCCACTGAAGAACGACTCGCGATCACACCACGTCTGCTGCCGCCAACAAGCGCGTGGCGGCACCACCCCGACTCACACAGGACAGACACTCAAACGCCCTTTTTCTCACCCGGCGACCTCTCAGGCAAGCAAGCGCAGGCGCGACAAACCCTCTCTCAATTTGTCCGCTCTCTTATGATCTACTGAGGGCCATAACGCGTGCGAAGGGCAGGGGAGAGGAGAAGTGTACAATGGGTACAGGCCTAAAAGGGGTACACAGCCCAAAGTGCGACCACAACTTATTGCCCCAACGCCTTCAAGCACCGAAAGAACCCTGAGACAAAATCGGCCCCGAGTCGTTCTCTCAGTTTAGCGGCGGGAAATCACTCTGGTAGCCGCGGTTGGCGCCCCCCCGCCCCCCGCCAGCGCCGCCCCCGCCTCGGCCTGCACCTCGCCCCCCGCCGCCCCCTCCGCCCTGATGGTGTTGCTGCTGGTGGTTTCCGTGCTGCTGCTGCTGCTGCTGGCGATGCTGCTGAGGTACGGGCTGCTGTTGCATCGCTCCCACCGGATACACGTGGTGCTGGTAAGGGTGATGCTGTGGCTGCTGCTGCTGCTGCTGCTGTACGGGAACAACAAAGGCCTGCTGGTGGGGGTGATGGGCGAGGTGCGGCTGCTGAACGGTGTACCCCATGGCCACGCCCTGCATGCTTGGGTCCTGCGGGTAGTAGCTGCTCCAACGGAGCGTGGAAAAAAAAGGGAAAGCACGTCAACGGGTGCGGATACGGGAACGGGGCTTGACGGCACTCAACCAAAGCCAAAGGTTGAATTGAAACGCACGATCGTGTTGTTTCGTCCCCAACACAGCAGCAGCAGCGCGACACATCACTCTGACGCCCATCGGCCAGACAAGCAAATCCATGTATACACACAATAAAAAAAAACACGTCCACGGACAAGAGACGTTTCTCACATTGCCTGCTGCGGCTGCTGTGCCCCGTAGAAGTCCTGCGCCGTCATGTACCCGCTGGTCATGGCCAGGCTCGTCGGCACTTGCGGCGTCTGCAAAAGACCGGTTTGTGGCTGCTGCTGCTGCTGCTGTGGCTGCTGCTGCTGGCCCTGCTGCTGCTGCTGCTGCTGCTGCTGTGGGTGGATGTAGCTCAAATGCTGCTGCTGCTGCTGCTGCTGCTGTTGTACACGGTGCGCCGCCGGTTGCTGAGCGTGTGGCTGCTGATGGTGCTGCACGTGTTGTTGGTGGTGGGGCTGGTTGTGCTGGTGCTGCCTGGGTTGCTGGTGTTGCTGGTGTTGCTGGTGTTGCTGGCCGCGCATCGTCGACCCTGCGACACCGCTGACCCCGGGCGCCGCTCCACCAGTGGCAACCGCAGCGGCGGCGGCGGCGGCAGCAGCGGCTTGCGCAGGGTCCACGTACCCCTGGGCGGCGTACATCGCATGTCCCGGGACAGCCGCGCCGTAGACTGACGGCGCTCCCCCCCCTGCGGCGGCGGCGGCGGCGGCGGCGGCCGCCATGGCCTGGGCCTCCATCTGCTGCTGGTGCTGCTGCCAGGGTTGCTGGTGCTGCACCAATAGTACGCCAGGCTGTGGCGTGGATAGAAACCATGCGGGGGGGCATCGATCAGCCTTCAATTGTGGGGTGCAACCCGCTTCTCGACATGAAAAAAGCACGGCAAACATATCGTCACTAGGAGAGGGATGACGTACCGATGAAAAGCCCGCTGCGAGCCAAAGCTCCAGACAGCATCGTCTTGTGGACGGTAGCATTGTCGGGCCGCGCCGCCACAAACAAACCACACCCAGCAAGCAAAACTCAGCATCTAACAACAACAACAACAACAACAACAAGTACATCCCCTTCGACCGCTGTGTTGATAAGTTTCTGTCATGTAATTTTCTCAACACGTTGCGATGAAACCACCCCCACGGTTTACACACCTGTCCAGGCATCTGCCCGCGAAGCTGGTGCCCTTGCATACCGGCCGGGATCGCCATCATGGCGTGCGCGGCCTGCCCGTGGGCGTGCTGCACCGCGGCGCTCATCATCGCGTGCTGCTGCTGCTGCTGCTGCTGAACATGCAGGGAGTCGACATAGCACGGAAGGGGTCGGGGGTGAGAGTGAGCAAGGGCACCGTCCGCGGGATGTCGCCAAACGCAATCTGCTGTTGCTGTTGCTACGTACTACGAATCTCCGCAAAGCAACCACACGGGGTGGGGGGGGCAAGATTGTGAAGACAACAAACACACATACAAAAATGACCCCAATAATGGCAAAACAACGCCTTTTGCCCCTTGTAGATTCTCTTTGCACCAACTCAAAAGGCTCTCGTTCATACCCGTCGCTCTTAGCGGAGAAAGTCCTCCAACAACCAACAACCATCACAATGCTGCTCTTCGTGAAACAAAGAACACGCCGACACCGCTTAACTAAACCACTACCCTCACCGGGTGCTGCTGGAGCAATCGCGGCGAAGGCTGCGGCTGCTGCCCCCCAGGCCCGTCCCTCCCTCCCCCCCTGCCCCCCCTCCCCCCCCCACCGCCCCCCCCGGGGTCCGCCAGCTGCCGGTACGGCGCGAAGCTCGGGCGGTAGTGGTCGTAGTTGCGGACGAAGTCCGGGTCCGACTTCTCCGCCATGCGGTTGCGCTGCATACCTCTCTGCCCCTTCCACTCCCCCGCGTTCACGGCGGGCCTTCTGCTGCCCCTGCCCCCCCCTCCTCCCGCACCCCNAGAGACAGGGCCTTCTGCTGCCCCTGCCCCCCCCTCCTCCCGCACCCCCCGTTCTCCCTCCCGGCCCGCCGCCGCCCCTGCCGCTGCCGCGGCCGTAGTCTCCTCGATCGGGGCCGTCAGAGCCCTGCTGCTGCAGCCCCCCCGCCCTACCGCCGCCTTTGCCACCGCCGCCCCCGCCGGGCACGGGCTTTCCTCGTCCGCTGCCGAAGCCCATCGTCCCGTCGGGGCCCTGAGATGTCACCGCCCCTCCGGCCTGCTTCGCCTCGCGGTCCGTCCTCTTGCCCGCCGCCCCTGCCTTCGTCTTCCCAGACGGTGTGCTCGAACCAGTAGCCGCAACCGCCGCCACCGCTGCTCCCTCCCCGGCAACGCCGTTGCCCTTGCCCTTGGTCGGTGACGCAGTCTTCGTCGCGACGCCGGCGGCGGCGGCGGAAGAAGGAGGGGTAGTGGCGGTGGCGGGAGGCGGCGGAGGCCTGTCGCCGTTGGACAAAGCGGCCGCGGCGGGGCGATCGGCTTTGGCCCCGGCACCGGCGGCGACGCCGCGTTCGGCGTTGTTCAACGTCTTGCCCTTCGCCTTGCCGCCGCCGGGCTGCGCTTCCCCGGCGGCTGCTCCCTCCGCTGCTGCTGTTGCTTCCTGCGTAGCCGCCGCCGTCGCCGCCGCCGCCACCGTCCGCGTCGGCGACCCGACCTCTGCGGTCCTCTCAACGGTAGCCGCCGTCGCCGCCGCCGTAGCTGCAGCAGGCACGGCCTCTGCCGACGGCGCAGCAGCGTCAGGGACGGCCTCAACAACAGAAGGGCTCGAGGCACCACCGTCAGGCGTAGCAGCAGCAGCAGCAGCGCCGGGTGGGGGTCCCGGCGTCGGCAACGGTGGGCTCTTGGTCCCGAAAATTCTCGCGCGGGCCTCCGCGTACTCCCGCTCCCGAACCTCCACCGTCTTCACGTGCTTCTCCAAGCCTCCGTTCCCCTGGCCCTGGTGGGGGTTCGGCGCCCGCGGGTCCCCCGGGTTGCGGCGCATGAGCTTGATCGGGGCGCCCTTGCTGCCGGTCGCCGCTACCGCCATCGCGGTCGCCACCGCCTCCGCCGCCTCCCTCCGCTTCGCCTCGGCGTCCAGCGCCGACAGCAGGACCGCCGGTACCGCCGAGTCGGCGACGCGCACGAACGCCGTCACCTTCTGCGCCTGCTGCTGCTGTTGGCTGTTGCCGTTTCCGTTTCCGGCGGCGGCGGGAGGAGGAGGAGACGCGACTGGCCGAGCATACAAAAGGGGGGGGGGGGGGGGGGGC